CACAGAACTATTTGTCCAAATTAAACAAGCCCAAGCAATCCAAATAGTTTGGTGACACAGTAAACCACTGCGGAACACGAACATAAGAGACCGAACAATTAAGCTTTGTTGTCTTTTCCACTTTGAAATCAAGCGCTGTCAGTATTGCGGTCAGCAGGGCTTATTCGAGGGCTTTTTCCAGTGGATTTTGGGGGAGTATTCAATTCACAAGTTTCTAGGCTCTAATTCAAATTCAGCCAAGTGGCCTGTGACCATGTTCACACCCAAAGTTTAAGGTATACGGAAAAAAGGAATTCTAACATATTTAGTGTGTGTACTGAGGGGTTATTAATCCATCGAGGTAAGTGCATAACTAGAAAAAACAAAACCAAATTAACCTCAGTTCTTTAGAGAGGCGTGCTTTCCAAAATCAGTTCAACTCCGAACTGCCAGATATGAAAGTTAGTGGGATGAACTGAGTACCACATAGCATTTTGGCGGTACTCCATCTATGGCAACTTTTAAAGTTAAAAAAATGTCAACATTAGACGTAATGCAACTTGTCGAGGAATCTGCATAGTATAGAATAAAACTGAGAATGCAGAATAAACTTTTTGCGAAAGTGATGATATCTGCGTCCATTAGTATCCATTCAGCAGAATAGAGTGGAATAATTAAACTTTATCTCCACAGACCCTACTTGCATAGCTTTCAAATGAATGCGATTCCTACTGGACACTCTTTACTCACCTTTGTTTCTTAATGAAGAAAGTTTGCTCTATACTCTTTATAAGAGGCAAACCAAAAGGAAATATTAAAGCTAGTCTCCGCTTGGTGATCATCTGTTCCAAAGATGATCTCATCAAGTGAATGGCGGCGTGTCAATTTGTGCTGGTTCTTCAGGGACCTTGACTTCTAACTTTGGCAGATGTGGAATACTGAGCAGATAATGTACTGAGAACACATGGCTTTCTATGGCGTACATCATCAATCAGCTATGAATGCTTCAACATTTTGTTCTGGGGAAATGCATTCACCATAAGTGAATATCAACAAACCAATCTGATTAGTGCACGCTGTTGTTTTCACAATATCTAGCACGGTCACGATTTTCAAGTCTTCAACTATCTCATCCATTTTATAGACATCGTAAACTGAATCACAAATTTTCTTCCCAACTAGATTGGACAGTTTACCGATTTGATGACTTTATAGACCAAGATCCACTATATTTGACAGAGTAATTAATTAGATGTATTGTCCGGAAACGAGCAAGCTCCTACGTCAGCTTGTGTTTCATTAGCGTCAGTGGTATGTACCGTGGTGGAGGGTTTGTAACCAGACATACCTGCAGAACTACCGTCCGGTAGCGAAGCGAACCGACAAACCATTTCACACAACAGTAAACTTGCGGCCAAAATTTTCCAAATATTGATTTATCAAAGTTTAACCGCCGGAGTGTTGCGTACAATAACCTCAGTCAAATTTAACCATATGCTATTGGATTCTTCGGAAAGCATGGTCAGCACTTCGCACCATACAAATGGTTATCAATCAGCAGTGCGATCAAAAAGCGATGTGTGGGAAGGATTATTTTGGCAGTGGAGTACGAATTAAATGAACTCTGGGGAAGCTATTTATGCGTAACAATGGGTCAGTACCCTCAAATCCGGTAGCTGATCCTGTCCGGCAGTTTTGTGAAGGGAAAATACTATTATGGGCAAGCTAGTTGACTTCTAAAGTTCTGAATTGTTTTCATTGCATCATAAGTGGCTAACCTGCACTGCACTTGTAAACGAAGTTTTCTGCTGGTTCTTTCAATCAATATATTATTGGCTGAGTTTAGTAATATAAGTAGAGAGAGTGGGTTGCACTCAACTTAATTTCTTTCGACCCTGGCTTTCGTCCTTTCCTGGTGACTCTGAGTAAAATTGCTAGCTCACTTCGCGAGATTCTTCCAGGAGCTCACTCTAGATCTACGCATCCATCTAATGCAGGTACACTAAAAAATTTTCAGTTGTGGCACTTTTGTGAGTTGGTATCAGATGCTGGAGTTTTGATGACACTTAGTTCTTTACGGAGGGGTTACCTTTCCCAGTTATGATTCACTTAAAGAATGGATGATCATTTTGTCAATCTGGGTTCGATTCCTATTTGGACACCTTCCAATTCTTTTGAGGTTACACTTCGGTTAGAACTAAGGGGTTTTCGCTTGCCAGAGAGTAACATTCGGGGCCTATGTTGGCTTTTGACCCTCAAATGGAAGTGGCCTTCTACTTTCAATGAAAATTTCCCTCAGGACCCTTGTTGATTATCCTTTAACGTAATGGTGCTCATCGCAGACGTCCGGTGTGGTACAGGAGTAAAGTTCTTTTTTCTTGACAAAACACGCATCATTCCTGTGATATAGAGTTAGGCATATCTTCTTCAAGAAAAACGAGTAAATGCGGCTATTTTTTGCTCAACCGTTATTGCATCCGAGTCTGGTATTGTACTTTAGCGCATTTGCGGAGAGTTTCACTTCATCAAAACTCTTCCATTTTTTTCGAAAGTATACCTTTGCCGTCATCTTTCAGAAATGCAACACAAGCCAGATGGAATTCAGGACGTTTCCAGAACTTTTATTACAAGACCGACCAGAAAAAAAATCAGTTCAATTTGTGAGTTATTTCATCTTTAGCCCCAAACCACACAAGAGCTTTTTAGCGACAAAATAACCGGAATCTTATTTGAAAGTTTGTTAACAGAGGAGGTCCAGTAGCCCTACAATTTTTTGTGCATAGATGACAGCTACAATGTATAGATTTCCATAAAATTCATTCACACACAAATTGTCATCGATGTATCAGCTTGGGGACAACATTTCTAGTCCACACTAACAGCGTGCCTAGTAATGGGAAATCAGTACTAGAAAGACCAGTGCAAGCGTTCGACAAATAATACCTCTGTTCAACTACTGTAAATTAGTGTAGCTCAAGTAAATCATTCCAGTTTGCGAAGAGAACTTGCAGATGCGGTTTTAATCCGCCCATCGACTTCTGGTAGTGCGTTAAATACGGGATTTAAAATTAGATGTTCTCTCAAGATAGCTACAATTCCCATCAAAAAGTTCAAATAGACCAGCAAGCCACAAGCTTGGTAATATATCCATTAGAATGGCTTGGATACTTGATCGCTGGTATGACGATTTTCAGAGGGCATTCATTTTCGCTGGACGGAAAAGACCAGCGCTGTGTCGTAGTGTGTGTTGACCTTGCGAATATCTCTCAGGTTTAGCGCACTAATCTACCTCCACCATACCGGCTTGAGTTGGACCGAATGATCTAAGCTAAATCAAAATGAAGCTGGCCTTCATTCTGGTTTCAATGTCACATGTTAGAGAAAAATGCTTCTTATACAACGTTCATATACATCCTCATTGAAGTTATCCACATCGAGTTGTGGATGTTCTCTGGATGACGCATTCAACAAAATCTAGAAAACACTTCCCAGCTTACGGAGCCCTGAAATCAGACATCCACATCGTGTTTTTATTTCTCAAGTTCCCAAGGGTATCTATGACAATTACAGATAATCACGGCATGCTTGACCGATTATTTACGCACCACAACCCACCGCATCAGCAAGGTGAATCAGCAGAATAAGCTGTGTCCACAAAACAACGAAGTTGTTCGACGAGTTGTTTTCCTCAGATAGAGAGCAAAAGTATCAAAAATGTTCTTCAGTTTTTTTTTGTATATTGATGTGCATCACTGCACCCACGGTTGACTTGCCCCTTACACCTCTCTCATAGAAACGATGTCAGGGTTCCGTTCGTTCTAGAGTTCGTTTGGTACTTCCCCCGGAGAAAACCCACAACCCGATATGGATAACTACAATGAGTATGTGTATGAAATCCCCAATAGCATGTCAAATAAGAAGCAGTTATAGATAGGAATAAGGGCTAGTCTCACTTTCCAGCAATTCAGATCAAATTATATTACTCACGGAAATTGTTTTAGTTAAAGCACTATGTTACAGGCATCTCTGTTGATCACCTACTGATCTATCAACAGCGGCAACTTGTGATGTTTGCAGCGTTTTCAACGAGCAATTTACAGTTAGGGTGGCCGTTGTGCTATGGTTCTTATTTGATTTTAACAAACCAGGCAAGTCGCTACTTGCATATACTACCAAATTAATATCATCAAAGACAAGTTGAGCTTGTGCGTGAAAACAAGCAAATCTTGAAATTGGTTAAGGTGTAGAATCCTAGATGGTTTTGGCTAAAACAAGCTCATTTAAATAGTATGTAGAAGAGAACATTTTTGCACTTCCCGATAAATATTCACACCTATCCTACTGAGTAATCCTTGTGATTTTTTACTTCCACAATAAAAATACAACCTTCAAAAACAAAGCGAACGAGTTTGCTCACTTTAACAGATCTGGCAACTCCAAAACCAGTTGTAGCTTATCAGTGTGTTTCTTCCTAATTTCAGACTACCAAACACCACAGTCTTAACCGCAGGACCATCAAAAAACGACAAACTTTTTTCGGGAACTCCATCTCAAACGCCGCCTAATATGTCATACCTGAGCTTTTCCTGTACTTTAAATGTGTGTTCTCAACTTACTATTGGTGAATGTTGCCAATCTCTGACATAAATAAATGAGAAAAACTGATGGGTGAAGTCTATATTTCGATATTCCCAACTCTTGAAACCTAGGTGTATTCACAGGCTATTCGACTGACACCCTTCACGGATGCAACGTGCTGGGTTGTTTAACAGCTTTGCTCGTGGACAGTACACTCTGACAAAATTTCAATTACACGGGTAAGCTGTGTAACTCGATTTTCTGTACAGACGAAATTGCAGTTGAATAGGAAAGTCAAATCTATAGAACTAGATTGAAAGTTGCGTTTAATTTCAGTGAAATACAGTGTGGACACATTTTCAACGCTCCTAACTAATAACGGGTGCGGAATTTTTAAAAGTTAAATTCCAGAATTTGGCTCAGAATTACAGTAGGATCCTTACCTGATTGGCGTCTAGCCCCCAAAACTCCAATTCTTCCTCAAATAGAGGTCCGCATACATCCACTGGGTAGTGAAGTTTTCCAGTTCGATAGTAGTTCAAAATTTGAGCAAATACTCCGGGATGTCGATCAAAAAAATACTCGTTCAATACAGGGTCGTAGTTGGCCAAGGCTTCTGTCAGGCGTGAAAGGCGCGTAGCCGGGATTTTTTTCAACGTTGCCTTGTAGGTTTCATGTCGAATACCTCCGACATTAAGTATGACACGATTTTCCGCATCCATTGTGGCGCCATACCAGGGTTGACAATACCGCACTGTTACAGCCTTCAGAAGTTCCGATTACTCTGCGAAAACAACGGTTACATTTATGAGAATACGGAATGAGCGATTTAAACAAACTTTTGAAAATTGTCCGCATACGATTTCTTCTAATTGTATCAGATGCAGAATCACTTGAAATGATCGGAGTGATTGCAAATGAGGATTCAACAAGACAGAATTTCATGGAATCTAGCTGTGTATTTGGTGGGGAGCGGTATAAGTTAACACTAGCGCTAAAATAAAGACAGCACGGCTTATTAGTCGGTGCTTATGAAAGTGCCTTTTGCAATCATGACCTTGGTAAAAATCTTCCTTTTGTTGTCATCTTGCTTATGGATGCAATATAGTATAATCGCTGTGTAGCATGAATGCCTTCTGTTTGTGGAGTTACTTAAGCCACAAAAGAGTTAGTTAAGGAGGGATATACCATTATGTTTTATTGAATTCCCAAAGATAATTTCCTCTTATAAGAGTCTATCAGTTTAGGCTAGCTGTTTTATTTAACACTCAGAAGTTTTTTTTCGAAAATGATGTTGGGTCCAGAAACGCTAGATGCTGACACGACATTTAACTGCTCTGATTTAAATCTCCTGAATACAGTCTACCACTGACAGGCCTTATTTCGAGGTGCTCGCTTTGCAGCCAGGCATAATTTGGGTACTGCTCAGGATCACTATCATGTTTTTGTCATCCAAAATCTTCTACACATCTTTTTGAGATCGCAGTCATTACAGCTGTAGCCATTCATGTACATGAACAATATATTTTGCCAACTATTAACTCTATGAATTTAGAAGGGGAATTCAAATCCAAAAGGTTGGAAATTATTTCTCTCACTTTTCTTGGAAATATCAACCCGCCTAGATCAAAAACTCAATTCGGTATATTCAGGGTTAATCTAGATCATCTGCGAAGTTGGAAGAATTTGACGGAAACTTAAGATTGATCAAGACCTTGTTATGTGCAGGATGCGCTTATATCCGTTGTAGCAGTATCGTGAAAATTTTGTTTTCTCCATGTATACACGTCAGCTACTAATGACATGCCTTTCACTCTTCCATGCACCAGCGTGCCTTACCACAAACGTAATTGCTTTGTAATGTTTTCTGTTAAAGAGACTTGCAAAACAACAAGCTGACCAATAAGAGAGATCAAGGGACTTTTTCAGGCTCTAGAACAATTCACATCTCCGAGTTCAAAGCTTTCCCGCTTAATCATTTCTCCCTTTTTGGGACTCCTGTGTACGGCACTCGGTAGACGAAGCATCATTTGTTTGGATTATTTTTTTCCAGCAAAGTGGAAAACGCATAAACATCACTTGAGCAACACACAGGCCTTGCGTAGTGTCTTCGCGGCAGTTGTGTGTTTTGGATTATCAGCAGAAAAATCAATTGCACCGTCGAGTGTGTGGCAGATTGTTCGTGCAGTCGCGCTCGTCTGAAGTGTTTGACAACAATTGTTTCCTACGCGTAAACATTTTACAGCAAGTCCGAGAATAATTCGAATCCATTCTGCCGTAGAATTAACCTGTCCAATTTTTGCATGTCACTGAGATGAATATTCGAGTCCGTCCTACTGAGGACTTTCCAAAGTTGTTTTAGGGAGTATTTGAAAAATTAGAATTTCCAAATGGTCATCTGGAAAAACTAGTTTACTGTGCGTAGTCCAGCGCGTCAGTATTCCCTATATACTCATAGAAGATGTTGACTTTAAATGCGTTGTCAAATGAACGAAGCCATATTTTATGGAAAAGGGCCAAATGTATACACGGTTGATAGCCTGAAAACATGTTCGTGCGCTCTGGGAAGACTGTTTAGGTAATCCAAACGATGACTGCACTTCTGAACAAAACGGGATTGGCTTCATATCCGGAAATTAGTTTGGTATCATTGTGTGACTTTAAAGCACCTGAACCTGGTACTTGTTTTATACCTCAGCTAAATTTGCCGGGAGTGATTTACGATAATCGAGATATGATGGTATAATTTTATATAAATTTGGCAAAATATCTTCATCTGCATTCTTCCGATTTGGCCGAACTTGAAACTGTTTATTAGGCTTAGACTAAGAGCATCGTTTCCTGTACTTGATGATCAGTCTACTGGACAATAAGCGGTTTGATACGGAAGACTCAACTGATTCCCAGATAAAGCTGTTTTGTTGAATGTGCTGCACAAAAGCCAATCATGTTTCAGTTGCAGGCTATTAAGGATATCGAAGTACATCACGAATGAAACTGCTCAAAATTTTGCTGAAAAAGTTTTGGCATTTAGTTGACGAATATTAAGAAAGAGAGATTCGAATAGTGTTTGCATTTTTTCCGTTCGTGTGAACTTTCATTGTCCATGTTGACTCAATAAGAGCTGAATTCAGGTGTCAGCTTACATGCTTGAGACAGTATTCGAAACAGATTATTTCAGCCATTAAATCACAACCCATCAAGAAGTGGCAAAATGACTGGACTAAATCAGTGGTGTTGAAAAAATTACTCGATTTGAGAACCCATGGGACACAAGAACGCTCCCAGGGTGAATCGTATCAGGGCACGTGACCCAAAATATGACGAGAAAATTGTGCAGCGACGATCAACATAACCGACGCTTATCAAAACGTGAAAAACGGATCATGGTGATTCCAGGCAAATGATGGAATCTTATCATAAGCAGCTCTCCTATTGGTACAACAGTCCTTTATGGGTCCCATAATTTTTATATTTTCTCCAGTTTCCTAATTTGTATTCCGTTTCTCCAATGCCAGTTGCCGTATATTCACAGTTTCTCCCAAGATGCTTATCACGGGTTGACCAAACTTGTTCTAACTCCAGGCAATTTAATTTGAGGTGAGTCACCTAATAATTGTGCCTTGGAAAGTTCCGGACGTGTAACGAACGTGCTGTCAGGTATCTGAGTAAAATGTTCTTGTCTACTTATCTTTTGTACTGACATGTAAGTTTTTTAGCTGTTCTTTCACAGGACTTGTGGCGCTTGTTTATGGGCTAAATTTACCCGGTGGCTACATGGCGGAACTGGTCTATCAGTGACTTGTTACGCACCAAGATTTTCGTACTAGTTGATTTCATTTGCTCAGTAATTACCCGCAAGCCAAAATGCTGCAGTTACTGACTTCATGGATTATAAGAATTCAAGTGAATTTTGTATGGTCTTCAACTGCTAAACAGATCCAGGCAGGTGCTTTTCTAATTATCTGGTCCTAATTTGGGACAACTGAAATGTTATTAACGGTACCGGTTATTCCCTAAAGTTCAGCACATCGACAACTTTTGGCGAAAATGCCAGAATAAGTGAAAAGTACGTGGAACTATCCAAAATTTCAACGACCCAGTGTAGATGTAATTAAAATGCACGTAAAAAATTTAAAAAATAATTAAAAAGTATAAAACTGTAACCTATTGACACGCACTACCACGCACTGATGATGACATCTCGATTACTGATGAAATAAAATGAAATTGTCCCTATTGGTAAACAAGCCAACGACCGTCTACGCTGCTCGAACTACAAACGTTTTCCTATATAGAAAGTAAAAAAAGTATGTTTTACAGCTGCAAGAACCCCTTAATTTGGATTTCAGAGCACGCATTTATCTTTAGGTGAATATTATCAAGCAACATTGACGACCGTTACAAGTTCATTCACGTGTCTCTGTACTGTGGATTTTCAATGGTAAGCATACCGGTGCAAAACAGTCCAGCAGGGGATGAGGACGTTTAACTTTGTACTAATCAAGACTTAGTAAACGCTACGTAGACGCATCAAGGTAGGTTTGTTATCAAGTCCCGGTAATATACAAAAATGTTTGCTGAAAATAGGAATGTCTTGATTAAACATCCACAATAAATAATTCAAAGATTTTATAATTCCTTAAGTCGTATTCCTATGCGCGAATATGGAAACCTTGTGCCATACCAGGACAAGTAAGTGGTACTTCCCTTGGACAAGTGGACAGTTGAAAAAGGAACATGTCTTGTTTCGGCTGGGAAGCACAAAATTTTCGGACAGTGTGGGCAAAATGTGCTGAGGGAAAAAACGACATTTTGCCGTGCTTAGCTGCATCTCCAGGCAAGCAGCAGGTATCACGTGAATCCCATTTCCGGCACCCGTAAAAAAGTGACAAGGGGAAAAAGTATCCACACGGTGAAATCACCCTGCTGATAATATCGGTCCAATTTTCGAGTGGAATAATGAAATTTCTTTCCATATTATTGCAAACACTGCAGATCGGCCAGTACCCAAAAAAAAGGTTAGACGTTAGTCGAATAAAGCACCCTTCTTTATATCTGCAATTTCATACAGTATTTTTTCATTCAGCTGACTGGAACAATATTTTTACTTGGTTAAACATTCTTATGCACAAAAATGATAATGCATTTCTACCGGCATTGTTCTTTTCCCCTTTAAGACTCAAAAAAGTATACTTTTTAGTCGTTTCAGGCAGTCAGAGCATAAGGGAATAATATAGTAAAAAGGACGGCTTCTGACGGTTTGCTTTTTAACAAAGAGGCCGAAAATCTACAGTTTGCTGACTGTCTTACTTCACGTTATGCTGCAGTAACATCAACAAGCAGAGTACCGTTTGCTCGTAAAAGTTTCGCAACAACCTCGTGGTTTGGATAGTTCTGCTAGGAATAGTTATCAATTGGCACAGGATTTTGGCTGATTTCTTGGTCGTATTTTTTTCTACAAGCGCAACATTTACAGGCAACTATAAACACCAAAATGAGAGTTTATTCTAAGATTCTTTGGTCGTCATTTGACAACCAAACTACATTGCTTTGATTGTTTCCTAAGAAATAAAAAAACAATGTTTTTTTCACCGGAATAACAGGAGCAATGTAACTGTTTCCCAAAGAAACTGGAAATTTTGCAAACTTAGCTCTACAATTCTCGACTCGTTCAACCCTTTTTTTGAATACATTTAGAAATAAAGGTAAATTTCGAAGTCTCATTGGTTCATGGTGAGCTATGAGAAAGAAAACTTTTCAAAGAAGGTTTTGTTACTTTCA